ATCTGGGTGACAACGGCGAAAGTACCGTCGCAACGCATGCCGCAGTCCTCGAATAGCGCATCCGCCTCTGAGCTGGCACGCGCTGATCCTGCAAGACTGGCGGTTCGCAATTGCCGGGGCGCGGATCCACCGAAGCAGCCTCCGGGTGGCTCTCTTGCGGCGTGCGCCGCGCAAAGAGGACCCTCGTGAGCTTCCAGAAGAGAAACGCGTAAATTCGAAAATCTACGAACTGGCTCAACTGCTGGACCCACAACTTCCCGCCTGTGCCCCGATCCATTTTGCAAGTAAGTAAGGGCACTGGTGCAAGAAGATGGTGGCGAGGGGGCTGGCCAGTGCGAAAACCCCGCGCAGATGATTGAATGAAGCCCTTTGCCAATAGTCCCAATCAGCCTCCCCCGCCGGTGCTGTTTTGCCTCACGAGGGAAACCTATGCTTGAACGTGTTGATGTTGTTCTGGGCGCACATGTTCGGGTGGGCGAACTTTGCACCGATGCAGGGGATGTGCAGTTCCGTCGGCCGCCCCCCAAGCCATCTGTTATAGCTTTTTTGTTCGCCTTGTTTTTTCCATAACTCTTGAAGATTGCGTTGGCGGGCAAAATTTGTGTATTATGTCCTTCTCCCTAGACAGCGCATTCGGGTTGTGCGCGTCGATATATACGACCACGAATTACAACGTTTCCAAAGGATACTGGCGCCGCTGTCTGCACCTCCGCTGGCGCGCCGGGGGGTGATCTGCGCGACGTCGAGCGACCCAGTGCTCGATGAAACGCGAGCGTGCGCCGCGCTCGAGACCTGGCGCGGCACGCTTGTGCACGCGTGCCATTCTAATCTCTCCTGTCTGCCAAATGTGATGAAATTGCGAGCTATTTATGCGATTGAAACCGGGGCTGCGGGACTCGTTGTGCGGGCCCCAGAAACGGTGCCAAATGCGCGTGCGCAACAGTCCACGCTCAAGCCTGTCAAGCTCATCCCCGACTCCAAGGACGAACCTCTGTATGCGAAGCAACTCGGCAAAATGGGAAAGATACGCTGCAAGAGGGATGAGTGCACGCTGTCGCCTGTAACGTTTGTGTGTTGTGGGGAATGCCCCAAACAAGCATGCAATCAAGCAAGTCTGCAACTCCCGGAAGCGAAGTACTGCTCGAAGGTTCGGGGCAACGCATCATCTTATCCGTGTATTTTTTTAACTGTGTTTACCATATCATATATCCCATGTGTGCGTCCCGGACAAGTCCCGATACTTACTCCGCATAATATGATACAGTCTTGCACGCTCGTACGTTGAACAGATGCGTGCAGTGCTGGTCTACTATGAGGAACGCGGGGGAAAACGAGAATTCTCGCTCGTGCTGATTCTCCCCCACAGTAGCATGCCTTGTGTTGCCCTCAAACGTCGACTCTGCTACGTACTCTACGATAGAAATGAAGTGCACCAAACCGCTTTTCATAAATTATCCCAGTGCGACCCTACCTAGGAGTTGGAGCCCCAAGGAAAGCAGCATTAATAGTAACAGCGCAGCTAAGCTAAAGCTAAGCTGAAGCCAAGCTAAAGCTAAGCTAAAGCTAAAGCTAAGCTAAAGCTGAAGCTAAGCTAAAGCTAAGCTAAAGCTAAGCTGAAGCTAAGCTGAAGCTAAGTTTAAGCTAAGCTAGAGCTAAACTTGATTTAAGGTAAAGCTAAGGTAAGGCTAAGGTAAGGCTAAGCTAAAGCTAAGCTAAAGCTAAGCTAAGGCTTCGCTGACGCTAAGCCAAAGGTAAGCTAAAGGTCAGCTAAAACTAAGCTAAATAAAGCTAAGCTAAAGCTAAGCTAGAGCTAAAGCTAAAGCTAAAACTCCCAAGGGATTGGGGGAACCGCTCCCAAGGGACTGGGGGAACCGCCTGGGGCGGGTTGCACCGCTCGGCCCCTTTAAGCTACAGAGCAGGAACCCTTCTAGGCAGAGCCTAGGTAGGGAATAAAATGCCCCGGGGCTCGCAGTCGAAACGGTTGGCAAGATATGTATGGTGAGCAGGATAAGGGTGAGACGAATGTGGAAGATATGAAATAGAAGAGCAAGAAGTGATAATCCAATCTGGGCAGATATAGCACAATGTCCGTAGGATCGTCACGCAAACACCGGGTGATCGTGCAGAAGAGTCCTTTCTGATGCTCCTGATGTTCTTTGCGCCCCCAAGCGACCCACACGTGTGCGCGAACAAACAAACAAGATTACATGTCCCCATTGAACTCCGGTCTAAACCGCTTAAGAGCTAAATGGCAGCAGAACCCTATCGCTGTCATCTCACTGATGTGGCAGAGTGGAGAGGGCGAAAAGGGCGAACGGGCAAAAAGGGCGAACGCGCAGGGGGCGAGTGGGGACACAGGGTGAATGCAACTTGCCTGAAAGACGTAGGCTCCAGGAGGCTCCGGGAGGCTATGCGAGGCTCCACGAAACCTCAGAAGTCCACTCGAAGCCCCAAAAGGCCCCAGGAGGCCCCAGGAATGCCCAGGAGGTTTCTGGAGGCCCCAGGAGGCCCCAGGCTCATGCGCAGAGACGCGCTCGTACTACCGAGACTCATTCACGCTCCAGTCCGTTCGAAGTTAGATTCATGACGAGGCCGTCACAACTCAAGCCCGCTTATATTCGAAAACTTTTGCGTCTAGACTCTCACGGTGGACAGGTCCATGCGAATAGATGCACATATCCGGAGCTCCACGCAATGAATAATTTTGTCCCCAACGAGATGGGGCCTAGTCTGCCGTGCTGGTCGTGTTCGTTTTCCGTGCCCCTGCTCATTTTCCGAAGAAATATTTTGCGAAAGCGTCGATTTCAGCATAAGAGGTCAAAAAAACCCGGTGGACATCTTATTTGTTCGAAGATGTCCCAGGCGAAACGATCATTTTTCATGCACTTCGAAGTTCTCGCCCTCATGTTTTGGAGGATGTCTCGAGCGAAGCGATTTGTTCATTAAATATGTTGTTGCGAACATTTCGTTGTGTGAAGATGCCTCAAGCGAAATGATGATTTCCGAAGTCCGCCAACGAACGATCCCGTGCAATCCCGATCGGTGTGTTTCGCGTCGCGCGCGCGGATCTTCGATAACTTCTTACATATACATATTCAGCCACAACGTCCAGCTTGCTTATCGTACCTCGAAAACACTTCCCGCCATGCCGTCTTTCCTTCTTCAACTCGGCGGCGGGCCCGGGGGGGACGTGAGAAGGAGCGGGCCTTCTCACAGGACTCGGAAGTCCCCCGGCCTTCAGAGAAGCTTTCGAAGCCTTCCCAGGAAACCTTTCAGAATGCCGGAGGCCTTCTGAGAAGCCCCGCCGCCTTTTGTCGAACACATCTACAACTACACACAGCAAAACTGCACCTCGTTGCGGGGGCCAGGGGTGGCAATCATAATTCGACTTGGCGCGTCGGTCGGTCTGGGTGGACGGACGTCGCCTCATGACCCACGATGGAAGGCGATGGTCGCGCCGACGACGTTGCGTGCCCAGCGTGGAAGCGATCACCACGTTGCACGGCGAGGCTTGGCGGCAGCCGCAAGAAAAATCATAACACGAAAAAGCGCTCACGCTCGGACGGGGAATCCGGCACAATTTGAAAGCGCGGGGGATCGGATCGCGAATTTGCTGCTGGGGCACAGGCGGGGGAGGGAAGCGGGCTACGCGACGTCGAGGCCCCCAGGCATACGGCTGGCTTCGCTGAGCCAGGGGATGCGGGATGTCGGCGGGGAGCGGCCCAGGGGGCGGGGCCTCGGCGATGGGCAGCGCGGGCAGCCGATGCTTCGCGAAAAGGGGACACGTACAGAACGGCACTTAGCGGCCGGGGCGCGGTACATGTCGGGGGCGCGAGTGGCGGCACCCGACATGCACCCCGCCCTGCTGGCTAGGTGTAGTTCTATGAGTGTTCCGTTTTGTGGGGATGTCTCTGGCGAAACCAGCACGTACAGAACTACACCTAGTGCCCGACTAAGTGTAGTTCTGAACGCGCTGGATGTCTCGCGCGGGGCGAGCACGCACAGACCGGCACCTAGCGAAAGGGGCGGGGTACACGTCGGGTACGTCGTCGCGCCCCGCCCGCAGAGTCAGGAAGGCAAGGGCCGCTGAACCCCCTGCCGGCCTCCGGGCGGAGGTGTCTGAACGCCCCCGGGCTATCAGAAGGAATTCCAACTGCGGCCTCCGCCCACATCGCTCCCCCAATCAGAGCATCTCGCCTGGTCACTATGTTCACCATTCCGGCCCGCTGCTTTGCCCTCCCCCTCCCCCGTTTTTCCTCTACCTGCCACCCCCCATGTCCCTGAGCGTTTCCTAGTTGCCCCTGGCCCCTGCGTGGCGGCAAACGCCCGCGCCCCCCCGCAGATGAAAGACTCACCTTGCGCTCATCCTCCAATCCACTCGCGAGGCGCAAGCCTTGGTTCCAGAATGACAATGGCAAGACACGCCGAGGCCCCGGCAAATCCAACAGGCGCGATCGGCCCCCTCGAATGGCGGGCGAACCAATACGTAAGACGATGTCGCACAAGTAAGTTTGGAATTCCGGGATCCGCGCAAGAAGATAATCCACTCGCCCAAAGTGTAGTTCTACGCATGTCCGATTCTGAGGAGGCCTTCTCTTTCCCACTTCCCCCCACGCTCGCCGCCGATCAGCCAGAGCCCCTTGCCCCCCGATGACGACGACGACGAACTGACGCTGCACCTGACCCTTGAGCGCCTCTTTCAGTTGGAGCCCATAACCCCGACGACGACGACATCACGTTGCCACTGGCCCTTGCGCGCCTTCTTCAACCGGAGCCCATCCCCCGACGACAACGACGACGACGACGACGACGACACCGGACGACGGACGACGGACGACGGACGACGGACGACGGACGACGGACGACGGACGACGACGACGACGACGACGACGACGACGACGACGACGACGACGACGACGACGACGGCGACCTGACGCTGCCCCTGACCCCTGCGTGCTGCTTGGGCCCGGGGCCCAAGCTGCTGCGGGGGGGCGGCGCGCCGCTCCGAGCCGCCGCGGCCCCGCTCCGCCGCGCGCGCGGCCGCCGGCTGGCCGCCGGAAGCCCAAGACGCGACCGCCTCGCTTCGGGCTGGCCCTCCTCCTCCTCCTCGTCGGCGTACTCCTCGTCCTCGTCAACGTCCTCCTCCTCCTCGTCGCCCCCCCGGACAACCCCCGAAAAACAACCGGAAACAACCCGAGTTGGGTTTTTTTCCGGTGATTTCCCGACCTGTTTTCTGGAATCATATAATTCTGAAGTGTGGGTACCCAGAACAATCGAAAAACCGCAGACAAAAACCCTCGAGTGGTGTGTGTGTGTGTGTGTGTGTGTGTGTGTGTGTGTGTGTGTGTGTGTGTGTGTGTGTGTGTGTGTGTGTGTGTGTGTGTTTTTCCGAAGGAAAGCACCACCAGGGAAACAACAGAACCCCCCCCCAAAAAAAAACAAAGAATTGTTTTTTTGGGGGGGTCCCCGTGGAATCCCACCAGCCCTTTGGGCGTGAGTGGTTTAGAAAGCCCGCTCTGTTCTCAACCCCCCTTCTTCCCCTTCGGGGAAGGGTTTACCCCTCCCCCTACCCCCTCCCCCTGGGCCTGGAGAGGGCGCCCCGCGGGTCGTCAGGGGGGTCAATTTCGACTCCTGGGAGGGCTAAAAAACGACACCCCTCACGAGGATTCTGGCCCCGACGGGGGGGGGGGGGAGAAAAAACCCTCTCCTCTTATTTGAAGCCAAAATCATTGATTTTACTACGGTTTCGGCCCCATGTTGGCCGTCTGAGGGGGCAGCGCTCCTCTTCCTTCATAGCAAAATCATTGATTTTACGAAGGTTTTGGCCTCATTTTGTCCTTCTCAGAAGGCAGCGCTCATTTGCGCTTCTGAGGAGGTCGTAAGAGGCCCCAAGATGGCCCCAAGAGGCCCCCAGGAGGCTCCCAAAAGGCCTCCAAGAGGCCCCCAAGAGGCCCCCAAGAGGCCCCAAGAGGCCCCCAAGAGGCTCCCAAGAGGCCCCCAAGAGGCCCCAAGAGGCCCCAAGAGGCCCCCAGGAGGCCCCCAAGAGGCCCCCAAGAGGCCCCCAAGAGGCCTCAAGAGCCTCCAAGAAGCCCCCAAGAGGCCCCACGAGGAGCCCGAACAACTCACACCAGGACGAGGGGCCCGAACGACTCGCACCACGAAGAGCCCGAACCTCCTCCTCGCCTCCTCCGCGCATCACTGTCACCCACCCGCGACCCGCCGTTCCCCCCTCTCCTCCTCCTCCCCCTCCTCTTCCACAACTCCTCCACGCAGGGATCCTAAATTAAATCTGCCCCATCTTACCGAGTTAACCTGCCCACTGAGTAACCTCCCCTCCCCTTCCTGAGCTCACTCCGCTACCCATCTCCATTTCGTGGCGCGCATCCTGGCGCGCACCTCCGCGCACGAGGCGGAGGGGGGAATTGGTTCTTCCCCTTCAAAGGAAAGAAAACAAGCGCCCCCTCGCTTATGCACGCGCGGCGCGGACCAATCCAAAAAGGCTTGGGCTTTCCCAGTGAATTCACAACGTTTCGCCACAACGGTTGCAAATATCGGCACGGATGCAAACAAACACGCAATTCGATTTTCGAAGAGCCCGAACGACTCAAACCACGACGAAGAGCCCGAACGACTCACACCAGGAAGAAGGGCCCGAACGACTCACACCAAGACGAGAGGCCCGGAGATATGCGGGGGCAGGCGGAAACACGCCTGAAAAACACGACTGTCGGCATGCTTCGCAAGAGTTGCTGTTTTGAGATGGGCTGGTGGGGATACGCGAAGCGTGAAGAATTTTCTGACGTAGTTTTTTTTTTTCTTCTTCATATTGGGGCCCTAAAGGACTAGGACAAATATATAATTATCATGGCGAAAGACCCAACCATACGCAAGCGTGAGAACCGCAAGGCAGGGGGACGAAGCAACAGGAATTCACAATGGGGCCACGAACCGTGTGAGGGGTGCGCCAAAATGGCGCGGGGCCGCCATGCGAACCCTGCCATTGGGGCCTTCGGTGGAGCTCCCGATGGGGCCACGAACCGTGTGAGGGGTGCGCCAAAATGGCGCGGGGCTGCCATGCAAACCCTGCCACCGGGGCCTTCAGTGGAGCTCCCTGTGGGGCCACGAGCCGTGTGAGGGGGGCGCGAAAAAGGAGGCGGCGCCGCCATGCGAACCCTGCCACTGGGGCCTTCGGTGGAGCTCCCTGTGGGGCCACGAACCGTGTGAGGGGGGCGCCAAATTGGCGCGGGGCCGCCATGCGAACCCTGCCACTGGGGCCTTCGGTGGAGCTCCCTATGGGGCCACGAACCGTGTGAGGGGGGCGCCCAAATGGCGCGGGGCCGCCATGCGAACCCTGCCGCTGGGGCCTTCGGTGGAGCTCCCTATGGGGCCACGAACCGGTGAGGGGTGCGCCAAAATGGCGCGGGGCCGCCATGCGAACCCTGCCACTGGGGCCTTCGGTGGAGCTCCCTATGGGGCCACGAGCCGTGTGAGGGGTGCGCCAAAATGGCGCGGGGCCGCCATGCGAACCCTGCCAGTGGGGCCTTCGGTGGAGCTCCCCATGGGGCCACGAACCGTGTGAGGGGTGCGTCAAAATTGCGCGGGGCCGCCGTGCGAACCCTGCCACTGAGGCCTTCGGTGGAGCTCCCTATGGGGCCACGATCCTCGTGAGGGGGGTGCCGAAGTGGCCCGAGGCCGCTGATGAGAGGAGGGGGAGGAGGGAAGGGGCAGCGGGAGGAGACGCGGGGCACCGTCTCTTCAAAACGATGACCCAACACCACAAGATGGTTGGGAAAAATCGAGAGTTGAATTTCTTTTTGGGGGGTCACCCCCTCTCCCCCAGGAACCCCTCAGACAAGCCGCCGAAAATTAGCCTGGCGAAGGACCCAACCATATGCAATTGTGAATGCCGCAATTGTGCTGGGTGGTGGCGGACGCATGCGGGCGGTACCTTCGGTGGAGCTCCCTATGGGGCCACGAAGCGCTGTACTGGGTGGGTGAGACGCGGTCAGCAAGGGCTGTGCTGCGTGGTGGCGGACGCATGCGAGCGGTGCCACTGGGACCTTCGGTGGAGCTCCCTATGGGGCCACGAAACGCTGTGCTGGGTGGGTGAACGTCGGCAGGGAGCAAGGGCTGCGCAGGGTGGTGGCGGACGCATGCGGGCGGTGCCGCTGGGACCTTTGGTGGAGCTCCCTATAGGGCTACGAAGCGCTGTTCCGGGTGGGTGAAGCGCAGGGAACAAGGGCTGTGCTGGGTGGTGGCGGACGCAAGCGGGCAGTGCCACTGGGACCTTTGGTGGGGCCCCCTATGGGGCCACGAAGCGTGCGAGGGGTGTGCCAGAATGGGGTGTGGAACCGCATGCCAGCGCAGCCACTGGGGCCTTCGGTGGAGCTCCCTATGGAGCCACGAAGCGTGTGAGGGGTGTGCCGAAATGGGGGGTGGAACCGCATGCGAGCGCAGCCACTGCGGCGTTCGGTGGAGCTCCCTATGGGGCCACGAGACGTGTGAAGGGCGTGCCGAAAAAAGGGTGGAACCGCATGCGAGCGCAGCCACTGGGGCCTTCGGTGGAACTCTCTATGGGGCCACGAACCGTGTGAGGGGTGTGCCGAAATGAAGGGGGGGAACCACATGCGAGCGCAGCCACTGGGGCGTTCGGTGGAGCTTCCCCATGGAGCCACCCACGAAGCGTGTGAGGGGTGTGCCGAAATGAGAGGTGGAACCGCATGCGAGCGCAGCCACTGGAGCGTTCGGTGGAGCTCCCTATGGGGCCACGAAACGTGTGAGGGGTGTGCCTGGAACCGCATGCGGGCGCAGCCACTGGGGCCTTCGGTGGAGCTCCCTATGGGGCCACGAAACGTGTGAGGGGTGTGCCAGAATGGGGGGTGGAACCGCATGCGGGCGCAGCCACTGGGGCCTTCGGTGGAGCTCCCTATGGGGCCACGAAACGTGTGAGGGGTGTGCCAGAACGGGTGGTGGAACCGCATGCGGGCGCAGCCACTGGGGCCTTCGGTGGAGCTCCCTATGGGGCCACGAAACGTGTGAGGGGTGTGCCAGAATGGGGGGTGGAACCGCATGCGGGCGCAGCCACTGGGGCCTTCGGTGGAGCTCCCTATGGTGGCCACGAAACGTGTGAGGGGTGTGCCAGAATGGGGGGTGGAACCGCATGCGGGCGCAGCCACTGGGGCCTTCGGTGGAGTTCCCCATGGGGCCACGAAACGTGTGAGGGGTGTGCCAGAATGGGGGGTGGAACCGCATGCTGGCGCAGCCACTGGGGCCTTCGGTGGAGCTCCCTATGGGGCCACGAAACGTGTGTGGGGTGTGCCAGAATGGGGGGTGGAACCGCATGCGGGCGCAGCCACTGGGGCCTTCGGTGGAGCTCCCTATGGGGCCACGAAACGTGTGAGGGGTGTGCCAGAATGGGGGGTGGAACCGCATGCGGGCGCAGCCACTGGGGCCTTCGGTGGAGCTCCCTATGGGGCCACGAAACGTGTGAGGGGTGTGCCAGAATGAGTGGTGGAACCGCATGCGAACCCTGCCAGTGGGGCCTTCGGTGGAGCTCCCTATGGGGCCACGAAGCGTGTGAGGGGTGTGCCAGAATGGGTGTGGAAGGGGGAGGAGGGGGGAGGAAGGGGAGGAGGAGGAAGGAGGAGGAGGAAGGAACGCGGGGCGACGTCTCTTCAAAACGGTGACCCAACACCACAAGATGGTTGGGAAAACACGAATTTTTGTTTTTTGTTCGGGTGCTTCCCTCCTGAGAAAATTTCAAAACAATTAGCCTGGCGAAGGACCCAACCATATGCAGTTGTGAGTGCCGCAATTGTGCTGGGACCTTCGGTGGAGCTCCCTATGGGGCCACAAAACGCTGTACTGGGTGGGTGAAACGCAGGCAGGGAGCAAGGGCTGCGCAGGGTGGTGGCGGACGCATGCGGGCTGTGCCGCTGGGACCTTTGGTGGAGCTCCCTATAGGGCTACGAAGCGCTGTTCTGGGTGGGAAAAGCGCAAGGAACAAAGGCTGTGCTGGGTGGTGGCGGACGCAAGCGGGCAGTGCCACTGTGACCTTTGGTGGAGCCCCCTATGGGGCCACGAAGCGTGCGAGGGGTGTGCCAGGATGGAGTGTGGAACCGCATGCCAGCGCAGCCACTGGGGCCTTCGGTGGAGCTCCCTATGGAGCCACGAAGCGTGTGCGGGGTGTGCCGAAATGAGGGGTGGAACCACATGCGAACGCAGCCACTGCGGCGTTCGGTGGAGCTCCCTATGGGGTCACGAGGCGTGTGAAGGGCGTGCCGAAAAAGGTGGTGGAACCGCATGCGAGCGCAACCACTGGGGCCTTCGGTGGAGCTCTCTATGGGGCCACGAACCGTGTGAGGGGTGTGCCAAAATGGGGGGTGGAACCGCATGCGGGCGCAGCCACTGGGGCCTTCGGTGGAGCTCCCTATGGGGCCACGAAACGTGTGAGGGGTGTGCCAGAATGGGGGGTGGAACCGCATGCGGGCGCAGCCACTGGGGCCTTCGGTGGAGCTCCCTATGGGGCCACGAAGCGTGTGAGGGTGTGCCCTGGGGGTGGAACCGCATGCGGGCGCAGCCACTGGGGCCTTCGGTGGAGCTCCCTATGGGGCCACGAAACGTGTGAGGGGTGTGCCAGAATGGGGGGTGGAACCGCATGCGGGCGCAGCCACTGGGGCCTTCGGTGGAGCTCCCTATGGGGCCACGAAACGTGTGAGGGGTGTGCCAGAATGGGGGGTGGAACCGCATGCGGGCGCAGCCACTGGGGCCTTCGGTGGAGCTCCCTATGGGGCCACGAAACGTGTGAGGGGTGTGCCAGAATGGGGGGTGGAACCGCATGCGGGCGCAGCCACTGGGGCCTTCGGTGGAGCTCCCTATGGGGCCACGAAACGTGTGAGGGGTGTGCCAGAATGGGGGGTGGAACCGCATGCGGGCGCAGCCACTGGGGCCTTCGGTGGAGCTCCCTATGGGGCCACGAAACGTGTGAGGGGTGTGCCAGAATGGGGGGTGGAACCGCATGCGGGCGCAGCCACTGGGGCCTTCGGTGGAGCTCCCTATGGGGCCACGAAACGTGTGAGGGGTGTGCCAGAATGGGGGGTGGAACCGCATGCGGGCGCAGCCACTGGGGCCTTCGGTGGAGCTCCCTATGGGGCCACGAAACGTGTGAGGGGTGTGCCAGAATGGGGGGTGGAACCGCATGCGGGCGCAGCCACTGGGGCCTTCGGTGGAGCTCCCTATGGGGCCACGAAACGTGTGAGGGGTGTGCCAGAATGGGGGGTGGAACCGCATGCGGGCGCAGCCACTGGGGCCTTCGGTGGAGCTCCCTATGGGGCCACGAAACGTGTGAGGGGTGTGCCAGAATGGGGGGTGGAACCGCATGCGGGCGCAGCCACTGGGGCCTTCGGTGGAGCTCCCTATGGGGCCACGAAACGTGTGAGGGGTGTGCCAGAATGGGGGGTGGAACCGCAGGCGGGCGCAGCCACTGGGGCCTTCGGTGGAGCTCCCTATGGGGCCACGAAACGTGTGAGGGGTGTGCCAAAATGGGGGGTGGAACCGCATGCGGGTGCAACCACTGGGGCCTTCGGTGGAGCTCCCTATGGGGCCACGAAACGTGTGAGGGGTGTGCCAGAATGGGGGATGGAACCGCATGCGGGGGCAGCCACTGGGGCCTTCGGTGGAGCTCCCTATGGTGCCACGAAGCGTGTGAGGGGTGTGCCAGAATGGGTGTGGGAGGGGGAGGAGGGGGGAGGAAGGGGAGGAGGAGGAAGGAGGAGGAGGAAGGAACGCGGGGCGACGTCTCTTCAAAACGAGGACCCAACACCACAGGATGGTTGGGAAAAAACCTCACCAGAAAACCATAGAAAAACCACAGAACAACCACCGAGCCTTTTTTTTGTTCTTCTTCTTCGGGGGGGTCCCGCGCGGTTTTCTGACATAATATTGTTTTCAAGCGTGGGGCCCCAGAACCACAGAAAAACCACTGAAAAAACACTCGAGAAGCGACTTCTTGTTTTTTCGGGGGTTTCCCGGGGTGTTTTCTGAAAAAATATTGTTTGTTAATTGAAGGGCTCCAGAAGCGCCGAACAACCACAAACATATCTCCGAATTTGTTTTTTCCTGGGGGGTCCACCCCCGGGAAAACCTTAGAACAACTATAGAACAAAAACATGCAATTTTTGTTTTTCCTGGGTTCCCCCCCGCAGAACCACAGAAAAAACACAGAAAAACAACATAGCAACAAAAACCCAATGGGGGATTCCCGAGGGGGTTCGACGAACTGCCACACCCAACTGCAGCGTGGACCAAAAACAATGAATTGTAGCAGTTGTGGTGAAACACATGTGGTGTAAACTATGTTGTGTACGTTGTGCAGTGTAAGCTTTGCGGTGTATGCTAGGTGGTACAAGTCAGGCTGTGTAAGCACTGTTGTGTAGGCTATGTTGTTTCAGCTATGTGGTGTGAACCATGTGTTGTGAGCTGTGTTGTGTAAGCTATGCGGTGCAAGCTATCATGTGTACGCTATGTGGTGTGAACTATATGGTATGAGCTGTGTTGTATGCGCTTTTGTGTAAGCTATGGGGTGAACGCTAAGAAGCGGAAGCTATGCGGTGAACGCTATGAGGTGTCAACTATGTGGCGTGAGCTATGTGGTTTAAGCTATGCGGTTTAAGATAGGCTGTGTGAGCCACGGGGCGGCCAAGAGGCAACCGCGGGCCGCGACGCGGCGAAACCTCAATATGCGATGCAGTATGCATGGCGCAAGGTAGGTGCGGCCACGGGCGGCAACGTGGCGAACCCCTCGCCGGACACACCCAGCGCACAAGGCGGCCACGAAGCGGCCAGGGGCAGACGAGGCGGCCACAGGCGGCAACATGGCGAACTCTCGCCGGACACACTCAACGCACGATGCGGCCACGAGGCGGCCACGGGTGGCACCGTGGAAAGTCCTTGACATACCCAGCAAATCCCTTACCGGTGTGTAAGTTGTTGCGCTGTGGATGTGTAGTGGTGCAATCTACGTGGCGCAGGCTACGTGGTGTAGAAGATGTGGTGCAAGCCGTATGGTGCAAGCTACGTGGTGTAAATTCCGTGGTGCGAGTTACGTGGTGCACGCTATGCGGTGTACGCCACGTGGTGCAGGTGATGTGATGCAAGCTACGTTGGGCGGCCACGGGGCGGGCGCCGCGCGGCCGCCACACACCATTCCCGAGAAAAACGAGTGAGAACCCCTACTGGGGGAGACATAAAACTCGAGTTCGGGGGCCATCATGAAAATTACGAAACACAATATGAAATTTGACGCGAGCCCCCGCTTCAAATATGACACGAACACCGGACCGTCAAAAACCAGGACGCGCTCGTCAAAACCAAAAGATATCGAGCGGGCACGAGCATATCGGCCGGCAATCCCGCCCACTCTACTGGGGGTGTGCCCATCCGGGTGCTTTTACTTAGCACCCAGGCGGGGGCCGACATCCCGCCTGGGTGCCGGCGACAGGCCACACCTCCCTCAAAAAGAGCGTCGGCAAACCCGAGTTCCTACGTACGCAACATACTCGAGTCTTACGTTTCACCTAAGTGCAAGCACGGTTCGGGGAACTTCGAGGCACCATTCTCCAACGAGTGTGCCCTCACGCAGGCGCCGAGGACATGACTCCCAGCAGCTTCCTAGCATGGAGCAAGAAATCTCGCTCCCAAAAATGGATGTCTCGCTCCTTCCGTGGCAATTGTTTTAAGGCACCCGACGCATCGAGTCCAACATGCGATGGTAGTAGAGCCGAGTGCGTGTGCCTGTGTACTCGAAGCAAAGAATGGTCCCAGAGCAAAGAGGTCCAGGTGACCTGTTCCATGGCACGTACCCCCTCGTCGGCCCTCGCCATCCGCAGACCCGTCGTCGCCATCCACGAGCGCAATGGACAATGGACAACATTGGCAATTCCCGCTTCTGTTTGATCAAAGTCGCGCGGCCGTTCCTGGGGGTTTTGTTCCTCGTCCTTTTGTCCCCCTTCTGCTCGCCCATGTCCTCCGCGTAGTCCGACAATCTCTTCCTCATTCAAGTTGTCTTGATCTTTACCGTCTTTTTTGTTTACCATCTACGAGTCAAAACATGGCCACTCCTCGCGATCCACTCGTCGTCGTCGTCGTCGCCGTCGGCTATTGCCTCGCATCCTCCCAGACGGGGCGAGGTGGAGGACCATAACATAACCACCAGAACGAATCAAGCTAATTCCGACCAGACCAGGTGCTACACTGACCAGAACCAAGGCAACTCTGGACCACACAATGGGCAGCGGACAACAGCCGAGCACCAACAACTTGCGATGACGCGGTAAGTAAAGCACGCAAGCCTTCTCCAAGGTTTTCTTCTGCTTGGAGGTGAACAAATGCAAATTCGCCAAGACGTGCTGCGTCAGAGGCCTCGGCTGTCGGGGGCAGCCCAGGCGCCCACCCAGTGGACACGCCAGACGCACAAGAAGACTTGTGGAGAGGAGGCTCCCTTGGTCAGCGATGCACTGCCAGTGATCATCCCTTAAGAGGGTCCTCCAGCTCAATGAGTGGAAGTCCTCCTACTTCTCTTCCTTCTCCTCTGCCTCCTCCCTCCCCCCCTCCTTCCACTCCTTCCCCTACTTCTCTCTTCCTCTCCTCGCCTGAAGAATTGGCCCTTGGAGCACTTCAGTGGTGCGTTCTCGTCAGAAGCTCGAATGGAATCCAGCCGGGGCGACGAGAAGTCTCCCAAAGGCCCGAGAAGAGTGGACAAACGGATAAAACCTCGATGCTCGAAATTCGATTCCTGGAATTCGATTCTCCTCCTTCATTTCCTCCTTCCCAGAGATGCAAGCAGCAGAGTGCCATTACCATGGCTGCTGGTCCTAGCGCGCAGAGCTAGTGAGACCTTGGTGACGCCCCCAGACCAGAGGGTCTGGGCGCGAAGTTTCTTCTGCCTTCGGAGAAGGCTTAGAAAACTTCTCAGAAGACTGGAGGCCTTCCGAGCCTTCTGAAAAGGCCCGCCCATTCTCGCTTCCCCCCTGGGATCGCTGCCGATCCTCCTCCTCCTCCTCCTTCTCCTCCTCCTCCTCCTCGTCCTCCTCCTAGTCCTCCTCGTCCTCCTTCTCCTCCTCCCCGCCCCCTGAGGCGCGGGCTTCAGGGCACTGCCCTCTCCAGGGGCGAACGCCGGCAGCACGATGACGTCGTACAGGGCGACGGCCTGCCCCCCCCGCTGCCCCCACAGGGCCCTCCCTCTCTCCCTGCTCTCCGTATGTGCCTCCCTGTTGTCTCATCCCTCGCTGCCTCTCGCCCCCGTGCCTCCCCTCACTCCTGGAAATACGTACCTGTTGCCCCCCGCACTCTTTCTTTGAATTTGCACGACATGACTACTACTCTCCTCTCTCCCCTGACTCCGTGCGGAAGACAGGCGGGCCCCCCTCCGCGCATGGTCTTTATTTCCAGGCTTGGGCCGAGTTGGCTTCTCATGTCTGTTGTTACCACCCGACGTTCGCCAGCGTTACAGAGTGGTACTCCCGCTGCAGCGTTGGTCTCATCTTAGGATCGGCGCGTTGCTGCTGTCGTTCGGAATGGTGCTCTCTCTCGCCCCAGCGCGGGCCACTTTTCTGGACCCGGCTTATTTGTCATAGTTGCCCCCCCGTTTCCCCTCCTCCGCCTTTCCTGGGTCCTCCTGCTCTTCACACTCCTCCCACTTCAATTCCTGCTGCTGCTGTTCGTCCTCGTCCTCCTTATCCTCCTGCTGATCCAACTGCTCAACCGCCACCTCCTCCTCCTCCATGTACGCAATTCCCCCTGTCCGATTGCGCATGTCATGATGAGCTAGCTCTTTCTTGGAGTTCCAGGTCGACTATGACACACGTCCGCGGATAGCGAACACATCAGAGCAATGGGAAGGGATGGGAGGGATATAATGCCATATATGGCGCGAGCCCACCTTGCTTGTCCTCCTATATGTGTATGTATACATGCACGCAAGCACGCATCTATGGATGTATGCATGCATATGTGCTGTATGTGCTGTATGTGTGTACGTATGAATGTATGTATGTATGTATGTATGTATGTATGTATGTATGTATGTATGTATGTAGGTATGTATATATGTATGTATGTATGTATACATGCATGCATGCATGCATGCATGCATGCATACAGGTATGTATGTATGTATGTATGTATGTGTGTACGTAAGTACGTACGTACGTACGTACGTATGTATGTATGTATGTATGTATGTGATGTATATGTATGTATGTGTGCATGTATGTACGTATGTATGAATGTATGTTTGTATGCATGTATGTAAGCATGCATGCATGTATGTATGTATGTATGTATGTATGTATGCATGCATGTATGTATATATGTATGTATGTATGTATGATTGTATGTAATGCATGCGTATATTTATATATATATATATATATATATATACATGTGTGTGTATGTATGGATGCATGCATGCACGCATGCATGCATGCATGTATGCATGTCTGTCTGTCTGTATGTACGTATGTATGTATGCGAGAGAGCAGCATGCACGCGTATGAATGAGATGTTGAGTTCGAGTTGGGTGGGTGGGGCCCTGCAACTGCCTGCATGGCATGATCGCGGCCGACACGTCGCGCTCCTCTGGGCTCGCAACTCCCCCTCGGGCAGTGACCGTCTCCGCCACCGCCCGTCTGGAGGCCAGACTCGGCTGCATCACCCGTGGTGTGTGAGCCCCTCAGCAGCTCGTCATCTTGCCTCTTGGGCTGGCGGGCGCGACAAATGTGGCCTCGTCCTGAGCCTCAACGCTCTCCTCCGTCGTGCATGTCGGCCGCTTACCATGCGGCAGCCCCGCCGCGCAACCGGAGGCCCCGTCGCTGGGCCAAGAGCGGAGCGGCCAAGCCGCCGCGCGGCCAGACCCAGCCAGACGACGGCAAAGAGTGGAGCGGTCTCTTCGAGGATGCTCCGTTCGGCGTGCGAGGAGTCGCATTGGCCCCTGCCCCCTCCCCTATTCACGAGAGCGAAATTCGGGGTACAATTCATATTTTGTCGGCCCTGAAGGCCGAACAGGTATGAACCGTGCCTGGCGCGGGTAGCAGGATGGCCACCGCTTGGAGCGGCTCTCAGCAGGCGTGGGCACGGTTGCGCAGCAGGACCAAGGGCTCAAGTTGCCAGGTAGACCAGGTGCGTCTAACTGCCGCGATGACAAATGGGAAAACTACGCCGGGGTCATCGGGGCCTTCGGACGCTCCGATCTGGCCCGGATCGCGATCGACCCGGAAGTAGGACCAGCGGCGGAGTGGCGACGACCCTGTGGGTGGGGGGGGCTTGAAGTGGGGCGTGGGGCCAGCGGGCCGCCCATTGTCGCTAGGGGGTCTGCCTGCCGCTAGCTTCAGCTTCCAAGGCCTCCGCGAGCGCGCCGATGTCGCTGGGGCCAAAGTCGTCGCGGCCCCCGCCGGGGGCTGGGGGGTGGACAAAGGGCGCCCTGCGCGTGCCGCGCGGCCCAGGTGCGTGCAGGGGACTGCCGCAGCTGGTCGGTCCAGAACACACCCAGGGTCGCAAACCGGTCGCTCGCCTTGAGGCGTCGTCTCACTGCCTGCCAGCAAATTGCCCAGCCTCCCTCGACCAGCGGCCCCATCCCGAGATCCGCCTGCGCCGCAAGGGGCAAGCGCTGGCATCGCCCTGCCCCGGCCCCGCACCGTATGGCGGCCATTTTGTCTCGGGCAGTCCGGGATCCACAGACGCTGGGGCATGTGCCGGCAAGCGTGCCCAGCCCCGCGCGGCATCCCGGGGCTTCGCCACTTGTGCATTGTCAGATCCAAGCATGGCGATGACGCGAGAGGCGAGCCTTACGGGCGGCCCGCCGTCCGCTGGGTGGTGCCGCAGCGTGGCGCCAACCCCCGCGACCTTGTCCCGGTCGCCGATGGGCCAGGCGCCTCCGTCAAAGGTCACCGCCATCGGCCGCGGCGCCCGATCCTGGTCGGGGAAGGGTGCCCTTTCTGCAACTTCTGTTGGGGCGCCCAGGCCACGATTCGTGCGAGGGGTCTGGCAGTGCTGCCGGCATGTTCGGCAGAAGCGCGCGCCCCGCCTGGCGTTGGCGCCCTGCGCGGAAACTCGCAGGCGGGGCCACCCGGGCCCCGTCGGCGTCCATCCCCCGTTGCCTTGATCGCGCCCGAGGCGGATCAGGGCGGCGCTGGCTTGGGCGGCCGCCCGCGCCGCGGGCAGCCTGCGGACGTCGCCCCCCGCTCTCAGCGCGTTTCTGGTCCAGTGGGGCCTCCCTGAAGTCAGGAGCTGCTGGCCAGGGTCGGCCGGTGGGCATTCTGGACAGATGCCTCCGCCTCTGTCCCATGCGTCTGGGACGTCGGCCCCATTGCGCGATGGGAGGTCGTCGGGTACCGCGTCGTCCTGGCCGACGTCGAGCCGGCCGACTGTCGCGCCCGCGCGTGCGAGGTCGGCGGAGGCGGCATCCAGCGGGTCGTGGCCGAGCGCCACGGCGTGCCTGAAAACCATCTGATGGATCAGGTGGCCTAGCACCGCGTTTCTGAAGTGCTTCGCGGTCTGCCCGCCCACCTAGGCATCTCCGGCGCCAGGGGCAGCTGTCCCCAGGCACCCGCATGTATCGCAGGGGCGCGGCTTCCCGCCGCCAGGTCAGCCCAAGGAATCCGTTGTCGACGAAGCGGGGCATGTGGAAGGCTTCCGTGAAGCACCCGGCGTGAGCCATAATCTGCCAATCCCAGCTCTGCCCGCGGCGCCAGCGCCGCCTCCCGCTCGCCGCGCGGCACCGCTCGGCGAATCCAGCATGGTGTCGCTGCGCCAGGGCTGCCGCGTGGAGCGTTCGGCTGTGGCGAGGCCGCCGCGGTTTGCTCGGCTGAGCCGCATGCGACCGTGTGATGGCGGCGGCAGTCGGCGGGGCGTGGGCGCGCGGCCGCGGGCGGGTTCGGCCGCGCGGGGGCTTCTGGGAGGCCGCCCACCTGACGAGCTTATTCCAGCAGGCCTTGGCCCTTCTGCGGCCGGGGCTGGGTCCCCAGACATCTTCTCCAGCATGGGCCAAGCTGTGATCGCCCGCGCCGCGGCGACGGGGCAGCGCGGCCCGCCTGAGATCTGGACGGTGCGCCCAATCAAGCGGGAAGCCACGCGGCACCCGCAAGGCCAATGGCCACCCATAGGTACGCGGCCATGGTGCGCTCAATGGCCAGCGACGGGGCGATGCAGTGTGCCGGATGGGGGCCAGGGAGGCTATGCAAGCGTTCCAAGCTCCTGCGCGCCTGGCTGGCGACGCCCAGGCTGCGTGTCGCGCGAGGGACCTTGCCCTCATCTTAGTTGCAGCCTTTTCCCAGGAAGCCTGCGTCAAGGCCCCCGGGCGCTCCGAGCTGATCTGCCCGTGCGGGGGCGCAAGGCCCCCTTCGCGTCGCGCCGAAACGATCCTCCAAATGCGGCCATTTGGCCTTGATACATGATGCACCGAACGGCGGCGCTCCATGGCCCGTCGTCACCAGTTGCAGGCCGCGCAAGGGACCGGGGCCGTCTTGAAGGAGCAGCGGCAATCGTCTTGCCATCGCCAAGCCCGTCCAGCAACCGTCTGGCCGAGGTCGCGCGCGAGTGTCGAGGGACAGGTCAGGGGGCAGCTCAGTAATGCGCGTATGCCCTTCAGGCGTGCTGCGCGCTTCCAGCGGCGTGGCCCTGGTACGCGCGCGAGGCTACGAGCAGCCCAGCTGTGTACGAGGCCCAGAGAAGCATCGCCGTCGCCTGCAGGGTGCGTTGCGCGGAGTCGAGCTGGGCAGCCAAGTCGTCAACGTAGGTGGGGCACCTGCCGGATGCTGCAGCGGCAGTGGCCCTCATCGCGGGGTCGTAGGCCATGCACCAGAGGATGGGGGGACGCAGTGCCTCGAATGCCAATAGGGCGCAGGAGGCCTGTGTACTTCTCTTTGACTCTTTGGCGGTCTGGGCCTCGCGGCCTACGGCAAGCGCGAGAAGTGCGTGCTGCAGCCATGTTGGCAGTCCCCAGCGCTGCAGGAGGGCAGCTAGCCACTGGAGGGGACTGCCTCTCGAAGGCTTTGCTCTGGTCAGCAAACAAAATGGCTGGCGTGGGGGAAAACCCAATGCCAGCGGCCGCCCGCTGGATGTGCCTTTCGACCACAAGTGTGTATCGCCCCAAAAGCGCGTTCCAGGCGGCCCCAGGAGGCCTATGCCCAGCTACGTCCGTGGCTAATTAGG